TTCTCCATCATCCCTCAGCAGCCTGCCTTCATCAGGTCAGTTCTTGGACGCCCTGAGCCTCTGGCGGAAGTAATCGGGGGCAGCGTCGTACAGCCAGTCGGCGTCCACGACGCACAAGTCCCGCATGTAGCACTTATTGGTGTGGAGCAGCGCGTTGTACGTCACGCAAGCCGGCTTGCAGTGGAAGAGGACCGACGAGGGGTGGATGGCCACCGGCTGGTGGGTATCGGTGGTGGCGTACGTGCCGTCCGGCTGCAGCTCGGCCGTGTTCATGAAGAGGCTGTAAGCCAGGCAACGACGGATGTTGCTCGTGTCTGACCGGGAGGACTCCAGGGGGGTGAAGAGCTGGGTCGTGAGCAGCCGGGGACACACACACACAAAAAGACAGAAAATAAGCATTTCGGAACCTGATCTTCTTCAACACACAGATGACGTCTAGCTTCTATGAGGACAGACATGCCTATCTGCCAATCAGTTCGGTTTGGGCCACTTTAGACGTGCCGATCAACACTGATTTCCGGAGCTAAGCAGAAATGGGACTGATGAAAACTTGGAAGGGATTCCCACAGGGGACACCTGGTGCCATATTACGCAGGTGCTATTGCCCAGAGGTTGGAGCAAGTTCATAGGTTCAATACCCAACAACTCCCGGTCAGGATTCTTTCCTAGATCAGGTTAGGCAAGCATCTTGCCTCTGAAAGCCTGCATGGCCGCTGCCCACCAGAATAGGCAATACAGTGGTGCCGTGCTTGACGAGGATAATCCATTCCAGCAAAATCGCTGTTAAGCGATATCCTCGTCGAACAAAATAAAAAATCCCATTGAAAAGCATTGAAAACCCGTTCAATGCGTTCCAATGGGCTGAATAACTCAACGTCCAGCAAAGATCTTCCATAGGGCGGCCATTTTGTGCTCCCTGTCTTGCGTAAAAGCCTTCCTAAACACAGCGGGGAGCCATTTTGTACATTCAGCAGCCATTTTGAAACCCGATGATCAGCTGTTTTTAATCGTCGTAATGCGAAGAATCCGTTCCTGAAGCAGGGAACCGATCATCGCAAAGCGAAAAAAACCCATTCAAACAGCGTTTTGTGATAGCAAAAACTTCATTGTGAAGCGGATTCGTCATCAAGTGGGGTAAGCGTTAAGGAGGGCACCACTATACTAATAAATAATAATCACGTGCCGCCAAGTCTGACCTGACTGATAGTGGCTCTTTTCAAGGTTTTCAAGGGAGGGAATGCTCAATAGTTTATCATTCCCTTCTTCTGGGGTGACTGGGGACGGTGCAGCTCGCTCAAGGCCATCCGGCTCTTCCGTAATCACGTGCTGTCAAGTCAATTTTGACTGATAGCGGCTCTTTTCAAGGTTTTCCAGGGAGGGAATGCTCAGAAATAGTTTACCATTCCCTTCTTCTGGGGTGACTGGGGACGGTGCAGCTGGCTCAAGGCCATCCAGGCTGGCTCTTCCGGAGGAATTAAATTCCCAGGGAGATGGTTAAACTATCCAGCTACAGTATAAGTATAGAATAAGTATCAGGAGAAGTCTACTTCCCATATTTCTGGCAGCATAGAGGCCAAGAAACTAGCTACCCAGGAATTATCTTTTAAGTTTAAACTGTCAGCTTCTAAAAAGTTTACAATACCAGGACATTCTTCCAAATTCAGCAAGAGATCCTTTTTCAGGTTCCGCTGCTCTTACAAGCAAGACAGCAGACAAAACCAAAACCATATAGTATATGGAATGTTTTTATTTATTAAGAACTGATGGATCACTCAATGGCTTAAGTCTCTGGTTGTGGAGCCAGAGGTTGGAAGTTCGATTCCCCTCTCTGGGTTTCCTTGACAAGCTGGACTTGGTGATCCACAGGGTCCCTTCCAGCTCTGCAGTTCTAAGATGATTACTATCTGTGCAGAATTTGACGTCGCAGAGTTGGTGGCATTTTAAAGAAAAACATGCCTGGCTTCCAATATTGACAGCAAGGTTCCGGCGATGGTGGAACCCAATGAATTTTGAGAGTTACATTTTCATTTAACAAATCACTGGTTAGACGGTCCAGCAAAAATACCCAAAGGTTGGGATGACAAGAATAATACCTTAAAAGAAGGGAACGAGCTATGAAGATGGAGCACAATTATAGCCAATTAAGAATTTTTAAAAATAATCCAGTCGCTCAATCCGTTAAAATATTGCAGCCCAAAGAACAATTTGATGGAATGATAATGGTTGATGGGGGGGAACTATCTTATGTTTATAAATAATTACATATAATATAAATAAAAAAAGTACAGTACCTATTCATAGTATGGTTCTATATAATATTTAACAAGCTTATGTGTTCCATATTGAAGCCTTTCCACCGTTACCTTGATGCAAATGTCCCTCAGCTGAGCTCTAATGTCCGACACCAGCATCATGTTCCTGCTGTTCACAAAGTTTTCTTTGCACCATTCCTGCGGGCAAGGAAGGAGCAAGAGATGTGAAATAAAAGGCGGCTCGCTGAAGCTGCAGATCAACTCCTTTGACCTACGATACCCATGCCTTTATTCAGACGATTCATATACAGTGGTGCCTCGCTAGACGATGATAATCCGTTCCACTGAAATCGCTGTTTAGTGAAATCATTGTCTAGTGAAAAGCATTTCCCCATTGGAATGCACTGAAACCTGTTTAATGCGTTCCAATGGGGAAGAATCGTCGTTGTCTAGCGGAGATCGGCCATAGGAAAGCCGCTTTGTGAACCGCCGATCAGCTGTTTAAATAGCTGTCTTGCGAAGCTTGGGTCCCGAAAACACCCATTTTTCGAGTGCGGAGGGAGCTGTCAAAATCGTTGTCTAGTGAAAATCGGTTTGCGAAACAAGGACCAAACATTGTCCAGCAAAATTCCCCCATAGGAATCACTGTTTTGTGAATCACTATAGAGGTTGCAAAAAGTCAATGTCTAGCAAAAAAACTGTCATGTGGGGTAGCTGTCTAGCGAGGTGCCACTGTATACTGCTTTTCAACAGGGACTGCTCAAACTTTGCAGAGGAAAAGGGGGCTCACCAAGGCATCGTGAGAAGCCAGCTGGCAACCCCAAACTGGAACTAAAACCGGGAAGAGATTTTAAAAGAGTGAGGCTATCGTATCACATCTCAGCCTTCCGCCTTTCCCAGCTGTACATTCCCAACTCCCTTAATAATAAGGCATGTGCGTGTATGTGAAAGAGAGAGAGAGGGATTAGAAAGTACCTTAACTCGTTAAGACCTTCTAGAGAAAATTTGGTTTCAAAGAGCAACCCACGGCCACCGTTCCTAGTTGGCCCCGCCCCGGGGACGTACCCGGTTGCCGCTGATGTTCTTGAAGGCGCGATAGACATTGAGCAAGGTGATGTGATCCCCTTCACTAGATATGAATTTCTTCCGCACAGCCTGCACTTCGTCCCGCCGTGAAGGAGGGTTGTAGAGGACGCTGTCCACGGAAAGCAAGGAGATGATGGTCAAGATCTCCTCCGTGCAGTGGAATTTGGGAGCCACCAGGATGGTCTGTCAAGAGAAGAGAGAAAATGGGAGGGTGGCTTTTCATGATAAAGTTCGGCAAGCAGGCCAGAAGATGGAGAAGATCAACCAAGGCTTGGACCGGTTGACCATTATAAAATAACAACTACATCTCCCAAAATCCCCCAGCCACAAGTTTTGGTTCCTGGACACAGCACAGATCCGACTAGATCCCGATGCCTCTAGGATTCCGGGGATCTCCCAACGGCCAGCAGTCGGAGGGCTGAGAGAAGGCGAAAGACAGCCATCGTAATCTTGCATTTTTAAAATCCTATCCTTAAGGATTCTCAAGGAGATCACAAGGCAAGGAAGGTACCAAATGGAACTAAACTCCTTGTTCTTTTCAGGGCTTGGAGAAACTGTATCTGTTAGACTCCTGGGACTGTAATCTAGCAACGTGATTTTTGCAAACTCTGGGGATTGCTACCTACACAGCCAAGAACTGCTCCTTGCAAAACACAGCAGTTTCATATCTTATCAGACTGAAACCAAGATCATTGACAGTTTTCTCTTTCAGCAAGAGAAAATGCAAACCAGCTCTGTCGCTGCCTTCACTGCTTCCCATGTTCAGAAACAAGCTAACAAAACTAACCCAAAAAGCCCACATTTTTTTTAAAGAGACACAAAAACTCAAGTGGTAATATTTTACTTTGGAGAACTTGGGTTCCAGCGGGAAGGCGGCCATCTTTCTTCCCAGGGGGGTGAGGATCAGCTGATCGTCCTTCCTTTCCACAGCGCCCAGGAGAGCCAGCTGCTCGATAGCTGCGTGGAGGGCCTCTGTGAAAAAAAAGAACACGACGGCAGCGCTGAAGTCAGCGTGGCCACAAGCCACAGGTGTCCAGTCGAAATGACACATTCAGGGGAAGGGTGCTGAGCTTGACTCTTATGTTGATCAACTAAATTGTACAGAGCTTTGCACAGGAAAAATAATCTGTTTGGGAAGAGATGAGCCAAGTGGAGCCTGCTCAGAGATGCATGGAAATGTGAAAGGAAAGGGGGAAGAGAGTGAGGGAAATAACCATACATAAGAAAACATCATCATCGGACCCTCACATCCATGGGATCAGTATCCAGGATTTCACCCCTCTACAGGATGAAAATATTAAATGAAAAAAATCCAGAAGTAGGTATTTCCACAATGTAATTACCAGAACTGGCCACTAGAGGAAGCCAGAGACCGTGCTATGTAAAGAGTTTGCTATTATCCACAGTTTTTGGCATCCGCGATGGGGGAGCTTGGAACTGACACCCCCACCCCCAGATACCACAGTCCTATTGTAAATGTTTAATAAAGTTTGCATCCGGTCCCAGCGAAACTGCAGCTTGCTTACCAGGTGATGGTTTTGACATAAAATCAAAAGTGAGGACATTGGGTATTCTCAGGGCCAGCAGGTGAAGCATCACGCCGGCCAGGTTGCACCTGGAGGATCGGGGAGATCAGAAGACAGTAATCAGCAGTGGGCTAAAACAAACAGTAACTTCTTCCCTGTAACCAGTTCCTTTTTCAGAATACAGTGGTGCCTCACTTAATGACATTAATTCATTCCAGCGAAATCGCTATAGAGTGAAAATGTCGTAAAGCGAAAATAACCCATTGAAACGCATTAAAACCTGGTTAATGCGTTCCAATGGGCTAAAAACTCACCGTCCAGCAAATATCCTCCATACGGCGGCCATTTTCGGTGCCCGTATAGCGAGGAATCCGTCCCTAAGCACAGCGGGGAGCCATTTTTAAATTTGTAAACCGCCCAGAGTAGACTTTTGGTCTAGATGGGTGGGATAGACATCAAATAAATAAATAAATAAAATAAAATAAATTTTGAGCACCCAGCGGCCATTTTAAACCCCCGACGATCAGCTGTTTTGATCGTCGTAATGCGAGGAATCGGTTCCCGGAGCAGGGAACCAATCTTCGCAAAACGAAAAAAAAAAACATTTAAAACATCAGTTTGCGATCGCAAAAACATTGTCGTGAAGTGGATTCGTCGTAATGTGGGGCAATCGTTAAGTAGGGCATGACTGTAACAGTGTGTAACTAAGTTATATGTGAAAAGCAAAGCAACCGGGGATTACTGAGTTTCATCAGTAATATTTTTTTAGTTTCAAAAACCACCTTTTCAAAGGGGATTTTCCACAGGCGTTTTTAGAGCCATTCTGACAGAACCACAGAACAGTGCAGTTGGAAGGGGCCTATTAGGGATTGGGGTTCCAAAATTTGATTTTATCTCCAAATTCAGTGGCGATGTGGATGCTTTTTCTACGGAAAACGGCCGCTTCACCTCTGGATCTCTGGCGTCGTCATCTTCTCAAACGCCTCGAACTCTTCCTCTGTGTAAAGACGGTAGCAGAGCCCACTGTCTTCTCGCCCCGCCCGGCCTGCCCGTTGCCAAGCCTGGGCCTTGGACACTCGCTGGACTGCCAGAACTTCCAGGCCACTTTCTAAGAAGGACAGGAAATGACCCCCATCAGGCAACGTTGTCTATTTTGAACTTTGGCTCTTCAGATATTCCTGGACTACAACTCCCAGAAATCCTGACCAGAACAGCTAAGGGTGAAGGCTTCTGGGAGTTTTAGTCCAGCAACATCTGGGTACGCAAAGCGGGGAACCACTGGCCTAAGGGATGGACTGGGGATCAGGATGAGGAAGTGACTAGCAGCCACTGCTTGGATCTAACATGAGCAGCTTTCCCTAACCCGGGTATGTGTCCAGAGGTCCCAGACTAAAGTTCCTATTAGGGCCAAACACTAGGGATAATGAGAACTGTAGTCCAAAACAGCTGGAAAGACCCAAACTGGGGAGAATAATTGGGTTGGAAGGGGCTGATACGGCATAAATCCCTGCAGTTATTGGCTGCGACTTAAGAAGTCAGCACTTGTATCTCTCGTTGCGCAACAAACCATGTGGCGGAGATGCAATGAAAAACATAGGACTCTTAGACAGAAAAGGCATAAGAAGCTGCCTATAATTTAAAATATAATAATACCCTGCCGTACCTGGACTATACTTCTTTGCTTTCACCATCCCTGTGTCCACAACGTATTTTATCCCCGGGATGGTAATGGAAGTCTCAGCGATATTGGTGGAGAGGATCACTTTGCGATAACCCTGGTAGACAAAGATTGAAAAAAACAAAACAACCACAAACCTTTGTAATTTTGTTTTCATGCTTAGACGTTTATGGTTTGCCCTTTTTAAAAAAATTGTTTGAGACTGAAAAATGTCTTGAGCAGGGGGCTGTATTTTATCCCCGGGATGGTAATGGAAGTCTCAGCGATATTGGTGGAGAGGATCACTTTGCGATAACCCTGGTAGACAAAGATTGAAAAAAACAAAACAACCACAAACCTTTGTAATTTTGTTTTCATGCTTAGACGTTTATGGTTTGCCCTTTTTAAAAAAATTGTTTGAGACTGAAAAATGTCTTGAGCAGGGGGCTGATGGCCTTTTATGGTTTGCCCTTTTTAAAAAAATTGTTCGAGACTGAAAAATGTCTTGAGCAGGGGGCAGATGGCCTTAGAGGCCCCTTCCAACTCCATGATTCCATGTTTCTATGAGAATACCTTGTAGCACATCACTCCGGGGGCTGATGGCCTTAGAGGCCTCTTCCAACTCCATGATTCCATGTTTCTATGAGAATACATCACTCCAGTCCCTTACCTTGGGTGCCACCTGGAAGACCCGGAGCTGCTGGGAGTAAGGCAGGGAGGCATAGAGGGGCATCACCACCATCTGAGGACAGCCGTCAGGAAGGTGTTTCGCGATGTCCCGGCATGTTTTGGTCATTGCTTCGATCTCTTCCTGGCCCGTCAGAAACGCTAGAATGTCCTGAGAATACGGCGCTTCCTTTAGGAAACAAAGTGGAGCACAGGTTAAGAGGCGAGGGGCTCCCGATCTATGCCGGGATGCAAGCTCTGCGTCCAGAAAGTCACATTCTCGGTGCGTCAAGAGATCTAAACAGGAAGTGACGGGAAAGACACCTGCTATGGCCTCTCTGTGAGCACAGAAAAAACACTGAGCTCGATGGAGACCTTGTAGAACAACTCCCTGATATTTACAATATTGATAAGATATGCAGGATGTGACAGTAAGCACTGGAAACTGCAAAGGATACCAAACGCAATTCAAAGAAGGGAAAAAGTACTCCACTGCACCTCGGAAACATTTGACCATTTCAATATTTTTGCAGTTAAATGTGCCTTATCGAAACCCACCTGATCTTTGGGAAGGCAGGTCAAAATACAGTGGTGCCTCGCTTTCCGATCGCTCCATGGAGCGACGAAATCGCTTTGTGACGCTGACTGCAAAGGATACCAAACGCAATTCAAAGAAGGGAAAAAGTACTCCACTGCACCTCGGAAACATTTGACCATTTCAATATTTTTGCAGTTAAATGTGCCTTATCGAAACCCACCTGATCTTTGGGAAGGCAGGTCAAAATACAGTGGTGCCTCGCTTTCCGATCGCTCCATGGAGCGACGAAATCGCTTTGTGACGCTGGTTTTGCGACCTTATCGAAACCCACCTGATCTTTGGGAAAGCAGGTCAAAATACAGTGGTGCCTCGCTTACCGATCGCTCCGTTGAGCGACGAAATCACTTTGCGATGCTGTTTTTGCGATTGCAAAAGCGATCGCTTTGCGATGTTTCCTATGGGGAAAAATCGCTTTGCGATGATCGCGCGGAAGCGATCACCGCAAAGCGCCCATTTTTTAACAGCTGATCAGAAGTTCCAAAATGGCCGCCGCAAAAACAAAATGGCCCCCACTATTTTGCTTCGCTCTAGAGGCACCCAAAATGGCCGCCGCTATGGAGGAATTTTGCTTAAGGTTAGTTTCTAAGCCCATAGGAACGTATTAAACGTGTTTTAATACGTTCCTATGGGCTTTTTAAAATCGCTTAGCGACGTTTTTCCTGGAATGGATTAATGTCGCTAAGTGAGGCACTACTGTATTTTTAACGTCGCTAAGTGAGGCACCACTGTATTTTTAACAGTCTTAAACTTGAGTACATAAATTTATCCTCTTTTCATAGACATTTCATAGAGCATTTCAGAGCAGTAACAGGCTAGTAACCATCTCTCTTGGCTTAATCTATAAAGCTCGCTGGAAGGAGGATTAAAACCATGGTGTGCCCCACCGAGGAAGCCCAGGAGAAAATGCAGCAAATAAATTTAGGATTAAGCATCCTTCAGTCTCGAGAGACTCTGGGTAACGTGCTAGGCATCCTTCAGTCTCGAGAGATTCTGGGTAACGTGTTCTGAATAGAGGACAGCAAATAAATGCAGATGGATGTTAACTACAGTTATAAACACAAAGAGTGACCTGGTGGATCTGGAAGATGGTCACAAGTGCAGCTTGGTGGTAATCGCTCTGAGGCTGTTTGGTGTAGAAGATCTGAATGGAGTGTTGGCGGCCTTCCAGATAGAGGACGGGAGCCCCACCGAAGTACTGGGAGAAGAGGTCAACGTCCATGGTCGCAGACATAATGATCACCTGGAAAAAGGTGCACAGCCTGATAATCTAATCATTATGAAGTTAAAAAGGTGTCCGTCTCGGGCTTTATGGAACAGCTTCGAAATCTGCTTCTCAACCAGGGCTGACGGAATTAGGTTAACATCATCGGGAAGCATGGTTGAGACTAATTTATACAGGTACTCCTGTACCATGGAGTGAGTAAAGTGTGACTATGCCCTAACATTCCAACCCAAAGCTGGTTCCCAATGTCGACTGTGCTGTAGCCATCCCAGACTAAAGCAGAATGGCTATGCCCTAACATTCCAACCAAAGGATGGTTCCCAATGTCGACTGTGGCCGTCCCAGCCCAGACTAAAGCAGAACGGCTATACCCTAACATTCCAACCAAAGGATGGTTCCCAATGTCGACTGCGCTGTAGCCGTCCCAGACTAAAGCAGAACGGCTATACCCTAACATTCCAACCAAAGGATGGTTCCCAATGTCGACTGCTCTGTAGCCATCCCAGACTAAAACAGAACACAGATACAGAACCGAGCTTGATGGGGCAGAAAAGCAATGCGACTGGGAGGAAGGATGAGGGGTGAAGGTTACAATCTTGAGCTTGAGGGTTAGATACCATTTCTGAGAAATTTGTAGTGGCCACTTTCGGGGGGCGGGTGGTGCCCTAAACAGCACCCTCTTTCAGTTTAAACTATTTTTTTGTTGAAACACATATGGCATTGGAAACAGATTTCCCGATACCACCACCCTACCCTCAGAATATCTCATCTTGTTATTATTTTGCAGCACAGTCAGGCCAAACTAGTGCTTGGATAAGAGATGACGAGGGATTTCGAGGCAGGGTGAGGGAAGGATCCTGCCTGAAATCTTGAAGGGCTAGGGCCAGAGTTTAAGAGTAGAGATGGGGGGGGTATTTGTATACGAATTCCCCCACACAGATGGAGATAACGAGGGTCCGTCCCCTGTGGCGTTAGCGGATCGGTGAGTGGACCCTCGTTATCTCCGCCTATGCGGAGGAATTCATACGAATAACCCCATCTCTATATAAGAGTCCTGGGCTAGATTGATAATGGGCTCAAGCTACAGGAAGCCAGATGTAGGCTGAAGATCAGGAAAAACTTCTTAACTGTTAGAGCAGTACGACAATGGAACCCATAAGCCTTGGGAGGTGGTGAGCGCTCCAGCGCTGGAGGCCTTCCAGAGAAAATTGGACAACCTTTTTGACTTGGGTTCCTGTCTTATCACTGATCTGGCTCAGTATAATAGACTATAACTCCCATCAGCCGGTCAGCATGTTCCCACCCCTCCTCCAGCCTTTCAACCCTCACTTTCAGAGGAGATTTCCCCAGCTCCTTCCGCTTCTTCTGCGCTGCTTTCACCACTCCAAAAAGCACGTCGGTATGGATGGTCCGCTCGTGCGCTTCATCCAGGACGACGACGCTGTACTTGTGCATGAGAGGGTCTCCGATGGCTTCTCTAAGGAGCATCCCATCTGTCAGGAACTTGATTTTCGTCTCCTCCGAGGTGAGATCCTCAAAACGCACAGTGTAGCCAACCTGAGCAAGGGGAGGGGGAGAACAAAAATCCTGAAAAGAAGAAACTACAACACACAGCCCGAACAAGGTATCACTCTGGTCTTAGCTGACCTTCAAAGCAAAACAAGGTCAAGTCCGCATAGGTTGCCTGAGATTACTGAGGAATACTGGATAATGTCTTGTAGAGAGGCTGTAGCTCAGGGGTAAAACACATGCTTCACATGCAGAGGGTCACGGGTTCAATCCCCAGCACCTGCCCCATACCACAATTTTTTCCCTAGAAAAACACACATTTCCCCCTGAAAAAAAATGGAAATTTTCAGAAATTTTACATCGCTAGCTACCACCATTCTGTTATTAGTGGGCTAGAGGGATGAATGACATGATCCACTAATCAAATCACTTATCCTCTATGCCCAATGAAAACTCTTCTCTCTTTCCCTTTATATTACAGAAATCTCTGCATTACCCCCGAGTCCCTCTACAGCAGTGGTTCCCACACCTGGGTCCCCAGATGTTCTTGAACGACAGCTCCCCAAAAATCCTGGCTAGCATAGCTTGTGGCGAAGCCTTCTGGGAATTTGAGTCCGAGAACATCTGGAGATCTAAGGTTGGGAGCACTGCTCTACAGGGAGAAAGATATGGTATGCATTGATCGATGAAAGGAAGAACGATACTGAACGGTCTTCTGGAGTCATACACAATACAGGAAAGTGTCCAGAATCCTGCATGCCTAAATTAAATTGGGAACTCGTATGCGTGATACCCAGTGTGGGGTAGTGCTGCTATTCTCAAGGGAAGCCACCTGGCAGATGTGAAGGGGTCCACAGACTGGGAACAATTCTTCACATACCACCTTATAAGGTTCACTGTATGACTTATACAACCCAGATTCGGTCTACAGTGGTGCCCCGCTTGACGATGACCCCATTAGACGATGAAATTGCTTTACGATGACTATTTTGTGATCACTATAGCGATTGCAAAACGATGTTTCTATGGGTTTTTTTTTTTGCTTAACATTGATACGGTGTCTGCTTCGGGAAACCGATTTTTCGCTTCCATTAGATGACGAAATCGCTTTACGATGACTATTTTGTGATCACTACAGCGATTGCAAAACGATGTTTCTATGGATTTTTTTTGCTTAACGTTCATTTAGTCCCTGCTTCGGGAACCGATTTTTCGCTTCACGACGATCTTTACAGCTGATCGTCGGGTTTTCAAAATGGCCTCCCGCTGTTTCCTGGACCTATTTCCGGAAGACAGTGATCGAAAAGGGTTTTTCACTTTCGCTTGATGACTATTTCGCTTAACAGCGATTTTAACGGAACAGATTATCGTCATCAAGCGGGGCACCACTGTATATTTCTTCCATATTGCATTGATGGTGGTGGCCCAAATGAGGTTGAGAATGGCTGCCGGAACAGATTATCGTCATCAAGTGGGGCACCACTGTATATTTCTTCCATAATGCATTGATGGCGGTGGCCCAAATGAGGTTGAGAATGGCTGCTGTCATGGACAGAGCGACAGACTAGGACTCAGAAGGCCCGGGTTCAAATCCCCACTCAGCAATGAGCCTTCCTGGTGAGTTAAACTTAAGCAACATTCATGTGTGTCTGATGCTAAACCACTGAGAATCAAAAGGGAGCACAAATTCACTCCAGAGAGCTAAAGGCATTCCTGCCTCCAAATGTTAGGAGGGATTCTCTTCCCCACGAGCATCAGAGAATACATGATGCTCAGCAACGATTCCCACAAAACACGAAAGGAAGAGGACGGTGTCTTCAAATGTTAGGAGGGATTCTCTTCCCCACGAGCATCAGAGAATACACGATGCTCAGCTACGATTCCCACAAAACACGTTCCCACAAAACATAAAGGCTGTTGATTCAGCCTCCATCCAGAGCTCTGTAATCTAATATCCCTGCACCGAAAGCTGATTCCACCCACCCACCCTCTCCCGTCCCACTGCCAAGTCTTTTTATTGCTATGTGCTGTCAAGTTGCCTCTGGATTAGGGCAACTCTGTGAATGAGGAATCTCCCAGATGTCCTGTCCTCAAGGACCCTGCTCAGCACTTGTAAACTCAAGCCTGTGGCTTCCTTTAGGGAGCCAGTCTATCTCGTATTTGATCTTCCTCTTTTCCTACTGCTTTCCACCTTTCCCAGCGTTATTGTCTTGTCCGCAGAATCCTGCTTTCTCAGGATGCCCCCAAAATAGGACAGCTTCGGTTTCAACTTTTCTCCCTCACCCAAAAAGTAACTTTTACAAAGTTAACCCCCCTCCTCTCCCTATCCAAAAACTGTGAGGCAGGGAGAAAGAACATGGGGGCAGATTTGTCTGGCGCCGACATGGAATTCATCTGGTGCCGACATGAAATTCGTCTGGCGCCTACATTGATGACATTTTAGGCACGTCTGCAGCTGAGCATCCTTTCGGCTTTGGCCTAACCACTTCATTAGCTCTGGAGCTACTTGTACTTATCCTCCGCTCTTCCTCAGTAGCATGTTGGATGCCTTCTGACGTGAGGGGCTCAGTTTCCAGTGTCATATCTTTTAGCCTTTTGTTTCTGTTCATGGAGCTTTCTTAGCAAAGATACTGGAGTGGCTTGCCAGTTCCTGCTCCAGGTGGATCGCATTTAGTCAGAACTCTCCACTATGACCTGTCCGTCTTGGGTGTCCCTTCAAGACATAGCCCATAGCTACTCTGTATTACTCAAGCCCATTCGCTATGACAAGGCAGCAGTCCATGAAGGGGAGAAAAGAACTAAGTTACTTGAAAGCTCTGAAAAGTCCCCAATTCAAACTGCTGCATGCAGATTCTCCATACTAGCTAGAATCCTGTCCCCCCTCCTTTGTTAGCCCTCATCCAGCCCAATATGACCATCACACACTAAATGAGAGTGTTGAGAGTTTGTTTGTCTGTCTCTCTGTTTGTCTCTGTGTTTGTTCATCTGTTTTGGAATGAGAAAAATAGAATTATTCCCTCCCGGCGAGGAAGACGAACCGGGGCCCGGCAGCGTTTGCCGCTTGCCGCCGGGCGTCGCCACGAACATGGCTGGGCGCGGGCCCGGGGCGGACGCCAGCTTCGGCCTCTTAAGGGGAGGCAGCTCGCCGGCGCCCTTCTGAGGCATCCTCCGCGGCGGCCGGCAGCAGCGTCGCCGTCGCCGTCTCCTTCCCTCGCCGGCGTCAGGTAACATGCTTTGGTCGCGGCGCCCCGCCTCCCGGCCCCCCCTTTTTTTCCCTCAGGGCACGCGGACTACGCTTCCCAGCATGCCTGGTGTCGACGCCTTGGCTTGGGGGAGGCGAAGGCCTTCTGGGAGTTGTAGGCCGGCCTGTGTGTCTCCGCGGCCGGGCATGCGCACTGTAGGGGGACGCCCGCGGGCATGCGCCTTGTGTTTCCCGAAAGCGCGCGCCCCCTGCAGGTTCGATGGGAATATTCAGAAAAAGTAAGGAATGATGGTCATCGCGCGGAGTAAGACCGAGGTGTAAAGAAGAACTCATCATCATTATCACCATCATCACAGTAACAACAACTGAAGAACTGCAGGTTCGATGGGAATATTCAGAAAAAATAGGGAATGGTGGTCATCGCGCGGAGTAAGACCGAGTTGTAAAGAACTCATCATCATTATCGCCATCATCACAGTAACAACAACTGAAGAGCTGGAAGGGATCCTGTGGATCATCAAGCCCAGCTCTTGCCAAGGAGGCACAGTGGGGGATTCGAACTGCCAACCTCTGGCTTTGCCCTCAGACACCTAAGACACTGAGCTATTCTGTAGGCTTGCTTTTAAGGCAACAATTCTTTAATTTCCCCCTCTGCTATTTATTTATTATTCGGTTATTTGTAATTTATTCATCATTGAAAATATATATACATTGAAAATACAGTATCTATCTGTATATATGACGACTTTCTCCTAAAGGATCCAAGGTAGCTTACAGTATTTTAAAAAAACAAAGTTAAAAGCCAAATAATACGTTATACAACAACCCCCATATCCATGGGGGATTAGTTCCAAGCCCCCCACAGATACTGAAAAACACAATTACTGTATAGCAATTGCTATTTTAATAGCAAACTTTATATAAAACATGGTCTCGAGCTCCCTCTAGTAGCCAGTTCTAGGAACTTCATCTTCTGAAATACATACTGTGTTAAAACTTATGAGATCAATATTAAAAACACAAACAAAATGCTGAATAACCATTATCACCTTTTCCTCTCACTGGTCCTCCAGTTTGCCACCACTCATTGAATCTTCACAACAACCTTGCAAGGTAGTTAGGCCAGAAATGGCATTTATGTATATGTAGGGAGAAAGGGGGGGGAATGTTAGGGTTCCTAGTGTTAGGGGAGCAGCTACTAGATGCCAAATTTGATGGAGGTGGCTTTAAATGAGGGTCTACGGTAGATCTTGAGCCTCAGGAAAAAAAAACTGTGTGCATCATCAAATTTGATGGAGGTAGCTTTAAATGAAGGTCTACGGTAGATCTTGAGCCTCAGGGAAAAAAAAACTGTGTGCATCATCATGGTGTTAAAAACATACTTTCCTCCTGGTGGTCTAACTAAAGGAGGTGGTGGAGACACAAATTACAGTATCTAATTTCTTCCATCACTGTATCTTTCAAGATAGAAAGAAGCTTTCCTCATGTTTCTAGAAAGTTACATCAATAGGTGCCTTGGTGAATACAGGATGCAAAGTAAATGAAGCATACCCTTTAACAAAGGTTGTTTATGTGGCACCTTACCACTTATACGTTATGGTAAAGTGTACATATTGATATATTGAAATTACATTTAAAACGTACCCTACCTAAAAGCACAGCATTTCCCCTCACTTAACTGCTTCTCTGAACCTTGTGTTTTTTAAGCAGTGAAAAGGGGAGGAAGGTGCAGATCTCCTGCCACATATGTTTGTTTCCAGTGCTGCTCTTTTTGCCAAAGCCAAAAACCATAAAGTGACTTCACTTATTTCAATATATCAACTCAAAATAGAAAATCAACATCAAAAGTTTTATTGATCTTCGGAAGTTCTCCAGTCCTGCATTGAATGAAATTGAGGAGAAAAAGGCCTTTGAATTACCATCTCTCTCTTTTTTTTTTTACACAATAACTGATTATTTCATTAGATGAGCTGAGAAAGTTCCATTTTCAGTTGTATGTGGCTGGGAGAATATTCTGTTCTGAGCTGAGTAATGCAACAAAGGCGCCGTGGCAAACCCTGAAAGATCAGGCTTTCAGGTCATTTTTTCCTGGAAGAGGTCTTGCGAGCAGAATCCAAGTTCTGTCCCTTTATAGAAAAAGTGCTTCCTTAAAGTTCACGCTAGTAAATCTGTCAAACCGTCCTTTATCCACAAGAGGCAGGTGGAAATCTAGGATGGTTTCCTCGTCCAGTCTCTCTCCCCACAGCAAAAAAGTATCTTGTCAGTTACTAGCCAACCAGTCTCTCTTCAGCCTCCCAAGCGCTGGCCTTCGCCCCATGCAAAGCCCCCGGGTCGCTCCTCGGGCAGTGGGTTGTAATTGGGATCCTCCTCTGGGTTATCAAATATTGCTTTCCTGTTAAGCAAATTTAAAAAAACAAACACCTTGTAATCAAACAAAGTTCCACGTATCTGGGTGGCAACATTTTTTCCTAAGGAAGGAGCATGGGGGGAAAGGGAGGATAAGACCCCGTTCACCCCAAGAACTTGTTGCCGCTCTCTGGCATCTGGAGTTGACAAGAGTGTACATCAGTCCCAGGGAGAAAACGGTAACCCAGGATTCTTCACCATCGGCTCTACAGCTAGAGTTGCTGAATTAATTTCAGTTATTCTCTGTCTCATCCGCCGCCACACCCCCCCGAAACCTATGACACAGGAGGGCACTTACAGAATTGAGGGTGTTTTCAGAAGCCTTCCTCCACCTGGCTGATTGGGAAAGACGTCTTCCAAGAAAAAATATATGTGTCCCACAGCAATACCTGGAGTCAAGAGTGGAGAAGTTAGACACCTTTCGTCAACCCTAGATTTGTGAGGACAGCACTATATTTTCTCTATAAAGCAAAGGCCACGCGGCTGTTTGCAGACCGTGGGTAGCCAGTCAATCCAGTTTCGCAACAACACGACACACACCTAAGGAAAACATTAACCCAGGTTGGGAAGTAGCCATATCATCTGCCAAGTGGAGATCATTAGAAATGTAACTGCAATCTCTTTTTTTCTCTAATGACACTGGAATAACATTAGGTAGAATTAATGCAGATGTGATAAGATCCATAGTTAAAAGCAGCACGGGTGCCCACAAATTCATGCTGAGCAATGTGGAAAAATGCACAAGGCAGAGTCTTATTCTTTGTCTCTTAGAGACAGTTAAACATGAATTTGACAAGATCACATCCCATCCTGACAAGGGGCCTGACACTTTTCTAACCATAAAACATTCTTTAAGGACCTGCATTTATTCTTACGTGTCTTTTCCAATCAGCTACAATATGCTAATTTAGCATCGCTCTTCCTTTTTTTTCTTTACGTGTTTGTTTATTGAGATTTTGAGCCGCCCAAGTGTTCCATTGCGCTTACTGATTGTATGTTTTCATATTTCACAGTGCCTTACTGTAGGCATGTAAACTCTGCCTTACTGTAGGCATGTAAACAATTCTAACTGCTAGTCATTTGCGCTTACTGATTGTATGTTTTCATATTTTACAGTGCCCTACTCTGCCTTACTCTAGGCGTGTAAACAATTCTAACTGCTAGTCATCTCTGGAACAGGCTGTTTGCTGGCCAAACAGCGATACGGCTGTGTATTCATAAACTTTGCATTAAACAAAACCAAAACAAAACTACCGTTAACCTACAGTGTATAAATGATGTCAAAATAAAAGTTTAACTACAGCTGAACCATGACACAATTACCATCAACTTACCCAGGAGATCCACAATAATGGAGTTCCCCAGCAAGAGTGAAAATCCCATAAGAACCCACGGGAGAAACGGGGCCTGGAAGATGAGCAGCCCAAAAAAGTTCATTCGGACAAAAGGATTTCTGCGGCTCCAAACGTACACCAGCATTATCGTAAATGCCTGTCCTAAGAAAACCAAGTTGACGAACAAGCCAAAGGTCTGGCAGAGGAACAGTTAAAGAAACCATCACTGCATTCAGATCAAGAAAAAGTACCCGTTTCAAAACAAAAAAAAGGAGACTGCAAAAAACGTATGGCTCTTTACTCCAAAGCTTCATGGTTTATTAAAGTGTACTTGTAGCTTAGGACCGGGGGGGGCACACCCTCCCAAAGTTAAGCCACTTAGTAACTAAGATGTATAATAATATCATTAACTTTCTGCCTTTTCTACATCACCAGAAAGAAACAGATCAAAAGATATGCCCAGTAACTTTTGTTAGCTTTTAAGGGGCCTCAAGGTTCTATTTCACCATGTCAGAGTCAGACAGATTCCACAATATCCTAGTAAAAATTCTGTTTTTGTGGGGTGATGCGATACTGGTCTGAATCAGATCGTGTCATTGTAAAATTTCCCACTTTGGAGAAATAGGGCAGAAGCTACCTCTGAAGTAGCACTGTTTGGTCTGGGTTGGGGAGTCTATAAAACCAAGCCTTCAAGATTCATAAGCCTCCCACAGAAAACCTGAGCTATACTGGCTGAAATCCTGTTGTTTAGAGCAGAAGGTAAGATGGATTTGATTTAGATCAAAGCAACTTAAACCACTGCAGGGTGGATAGAAATCAATGCTTGGGGGAAAAATCATTGATTTTTACCCACCATGTAGTGATTTAAATCTATGGTATTTGATTTAAATCAAATCCACCCTGGTAGAAAGTCACAAATTAGAATAGACAAGGATTTGGTGAGTTAACTTCTCTGTTAAGTCCCACTGATTCAATGGGCCTACTCTAGTTGCAACTTATTATGCTAAGCAATGAGATTTCGGCCACTGTGTTCCAAGAAGGCTGAGACTTAGCAGCCTGCGGATCTTGGAATCTCCAGAGCTGAACCTCACTAGATCCCCGAATGCAACAGTTCCCTTGCAACACCCTGACTTGGAGAACCCCAGCATGACATGCTTTTCTCCAGGCTGACTCTTCCGTATGCGAGATATCATGAGCTCAACAGCAAAAGGATACAGTCATCAACAGCCCACCAAAAAGGAACATAAACACGAAGTCTGCCGTTCGGCCGCGGAAGGATCCTTCCTCAAGCATCCGACAGTAGCGGTATCTGAAGTTACGAGGTCAGGAGAATACTTGGCACCCGGCAGGCATTCTTCGAGATTTATTTTTGCAGGAACATAAAACTAGTTGTTTTAGTTAAAGCACTGCAGAAGGATGCTCTTCCAGACGTTGACAGACTACAGCTGCCACCAACCCCAGCAGCACAGGCAACGGTGAAAAGTGATGGGACTTACAGTCAAATCCTAAGTGGCCTCTCTCCAATGTATACGTTAACTGACATAAAAAGGCAATGACAAAGTGCTGACCCAATTTAAAATATAGCATTATGAACACAATAAAACACCAAGCTAAAGGGCAAGAGATAAACATTTAACTTCATGTCAAATGCAAAATAGATAAGCCTGAACATTTAAATTACTCTTTGGTTCAGATCTGTAATTCTCCCCTCCACAGAGCAGAAATAATATTCTGTGAGGATAAAAAATCACTGGGACATGTCTAACTCGTACCACTAGAATTTCTTTTGAGAAGAAGGGACCTATCAGTCCTCCTTGTCTGACGAGCCTTTTGATCAGAGAGGGGACAGTGTCAACATTAACGCACGAGTAGTCTTTCTGCTTTTGGAAAAACCCATTTGTGATAAGAAAACATCTCCCAGCTAACTCTCTAACTTTGACAGGTCTCGAGTTCCTCTGCCTCTACGGAATCTCCCAGCTAACTCTCTAACTTTGACGTCTCCTGCAAGACTTAGAATTGGTGCTCAGCTCCCATCCGTCCTAAGAGGATGTTCTAGAGGCTGGATACTGCCAAAGAGCAGCTCTTCCCCACTTTAAAACCAATGGCAATCCAGATGTTGGACTGCAGCTTCCATTGTTTTTTTTTAGCAGCTCTGTGGCAAGCATTACTGGGAGATGGAACGCAACAATGTCTGGAGAACCCCCAAATTGCCCACCCCCATAGAACGAGGGATACCAGCCAGCCCTCAGATGAGCAAACGATGTTCCTCTCATAGGGTACATCATTTACCCTTCAAACATCTCAATGTTGCCAAAGACTGATTTCAGGGAAAGCAGCAATTTTGGACTAATTTTGCACCTCTCCAGAGAGGACGTCATAGAATGATTTTGCCCTCCAAAGATGAGAACCGCACTTTTAAAATGTTCAACAGTCAAAAGATACAAAAAGATCATATTAAATAGAAAATTAAACCCAACCGGTCCAAAGAAAAGGTAGTTTGTGATTAGCCTCCATACCTGCAAGACAGATGGGAAGAGTGTTATTAAAAGATGCATCTCCGATCAGAGAATGACTTAAATGAGAAGAGCTCTAGTCAATTTAAATCCACAAGTTAAAGCCATGTGATAAAGACTTTCTTTCTTTAAGCATATCAGTACTGGGAAATAAAGGTACTTCTGAGTAACCACAGAGTATTTTTTTTCCATCCCACACTGAGCAACACCATCTTTCAAGGACTCAAGATTCTGCCAGGGGCTGCCATTAAGCAGCCCCACGCCCTCTCCAGTTCTTTGGACAAATCTATGAGAATAGGGTCTGATTAAAGAAAACAATAACAAACACTTTAAAGACATATCAGTTGCCGTGGGAAATTAAAGCCAGCATAATATCGCTGGTTATTTCTTCCATAATTTGCAAGGCATTCCCCTTCAAATACAAGAAGAAATTTTAAGAACATCACACATTTTCATAAAAGTGATGTACTTGCTTGAAGGGAAAATAATGTAAGCTCTTACATATGAAATTTGCAGTTCAGTAGGACCACAGTACCTGCAGAGGATCAATTCCACCTCTGTAGATGCTATATTGCAGTCTGTAACTTCCTCTAAAGACCAGGTGTAGTAAATACTCCCTGGAAATATATACCTGTATATAGAATCGGCAGATACTGACCCCTATGGATTTGGGGGGGGGGGTTTCCTACTGTATTTCGAAAAAGATAACACAATAGTCTAAGATCTTTTTAAAAACGGATGCATTTATTGTGGTGTAAGGTTTTGTAGATTAGAGTTCCCCCTGTTAGATGCATGAAGCGTTATGCTCAGTTGCAATGCAACATGGTTGGGGGGGGGAGTTGCAAATGGGCCATCTTGGTTGTTTTTAAAATAAAAAGGGACTTAACAGAGCTGCCCTTTGGAACTTGCAAAAGATTGTCCTAGTAGGAAAATGAATGCAATGTCTTTTAAAATTACCAAACTGCCATGTTTCATGTTCTGCAGTATTTTATCTTGTTTACAGTTAGGAAAAAGTTCTGATGGTGTTTCTCTCTAATTACAGCTTTTAAAATGCAGAGGTAAAGAAGCAAAGTGGAGTGTTTTCAAGGTAAGACTATAACATTACAGAAACATTACTTTACACTAGAATCATGTGAACTGTTTAACTGCATTATTTTAACAGTTATCAAATTGATCCAATGAAATAAATGCTATTATTTCCTTGCTGGACTATTATGCAACTTAAATACCTTTCCATCCAGCACGCATCATGGTAACAAATCACAATATTATAGAATTTGGTCACACGGCATAAGGTCTACTTTGCAATGCAAGACAAGCACAAATTGTTTCATTGTTGCTTAGTAATAAAATCACATCAAAGGTAAAATCATTCACCTGGGTCCCTCTATAAATCTCAGAATTTCCTATTAGAACAGCCTCTGAACACCTCACAATTGGAGAGGTGTAAGGAAGTTGCAGCTCAATGGTAGGCTACGTGCTTTGCCTGTGACAGGTCTCAGTCTGAAATCTTGAATTTCAGCGATCAGTACTGACCGAGGGCTTTGCTCAGCTTCCCTAAGTGGCTGACATATCAGCAATGTTCCTTTGTTGAAATTCAGAGGTAAAAACTCTCTTTAAAAGTCAGTGACATGCAAAAAGACACTTACTTGAAAATGCTTAAATATCAATTCTGGGTTGAAATACAGCTGAAATGGTGTGATTAATTCTAATTGCTGGGGGGAAAATGGAAATATAAAGCATGTCAGAATCATGCTAGTACAGCAGTGTTACTTACAAACACACAACATGACAAAACTTTAAAGACTATCAGGTTTACTTCAGTGTAAGCATTCCCGGATTATTCTCAGAAACCTGATCGTCTGTAGAATAAGCAACAAGGCCCAAAACATTAAGGGGGGCTATAAAAGACGATCTAATAAATCCAAGGAGGATGTGAGGGTTCAGCTTTAGGCTCCTCTTTTGGTTCAAAGAAATCAGTAGATTTTTGTTGCTTCAAAACAGGTGAAAGATTGATTGGTGCATTTAACAATAAACAAGTGTCTATGACATGATTATGAGACTGTTCTCCTCCTGCCCACGGGTCCGGAAGGGGTCTCCAATCTTCTAAGAGGAACAGGCTGCCATAACTATTGTTCCATGGTTTCGGTAAATCAGCAGGGACCCATTCTCTCACGGTCTGCCCCGTCGAACCTTCCAGCAAGGGTCTCGTCCTCCCGATTGCCATTCCACAGGGTTCGTCCCTCGGGGTCTCGATCCTCCCAGGGTCCTCCCTGTAGTTCCTTCATCCTCATCTCTCTTATGCTCCATTCTAGCCTCTCTCTCCTTTCTATCTCCACTCTTCTCTCGACCTCTTCCTCCGCTCTCTCGCCTCGGCTTCTCCCCAATAAGAGGGTCTGGGGGGAATCGCCCTCCTTCTTCTGCAATCCGCCTCCTCTTTAGATACTCTCAGCCTCTCCCATAATCCCGTCCAGGGATCCTCCGTCCACACCCATTCCCAGCCTGGCGGCAACTGACCCTCCTTCCTTTTTACCTCCCCTGCCTCAAACTCCACCCTTTTCTTCCTCTCTTTTCCTGCCGTTTCCTCCTGAACCTCTCTCATGGTCGCACCCTGCAAGTTCTCAGCCAGCTCCTCTATTTCTGTCCCTTGCTGAGCTTCTGCCGCAGATTCTGGTGATGGCTGGGGACTCTCCTCCTTATTCCTGGCGGCAACTGACCCTCCTTCCTTTTTACCTCCCCTGCCTCAAACTCCACCCTTTTCTTCCTCTCTTTTCCTGCCGTTTCCTCCTGAACCTCTCTCATGGTCGCACCCTGCAAGTTCTCAGCCAGCTCCTCTGTTTCTGTCCCTTGCTGAGCTTCTGCCGCAGATTCTGGTGCTGGCTGGGGACTCTCCTCCTTATTCTCGTGGTGGGGGAGGGACGGCTCTCCAGCGAATGGGGCATCCCTCTCACCTTCTGTCTCACAGAGGACAGATCAAATAACTATTAGTAACGAAGGGCATATAATAACAGCATGTGCACAGAAAGGCTACTTTTTAAATTTACTGTGACAACAGCTACTGCTTTCATGTCCTGCTAGAAAACATGTGAGCTAAGTGTTTTAGGGCTCATTCATTCCTTTTCATGACACTCCTTACTGTGTTGAAATTCTTCACTTTCTAAGAATACAGCGTGTCCTAATCTTCTCATCGAAATGGTTGTGACAACTAGGATTTCAGGGTCTTGAGGTTGATGCTCCGTCTTCTCACTGAGCAAAGCTCTTGACCCAAGTGCTGGGAACCTCCAGCCCAGGGACTCAATCCATTACACCTTCTGGGGACCTAATCTGGCCCTTTGAGAGGGGCCTCCACCCCCCTTGATGTCATGGTGTGGTGGTTTCCCACCTTCTGTACATTGCCTCTGCGTCTAAAAAGCAAAGATGCCTTTTCACTTTACTTAATCATGTGCCCTCATTTTGTCCCTCCCTTCAAAAACTGTCTTGAAACAGAGTTCAGTCCCTGAGCTGAGAAAGGTTCCTCATCCTTTCAGCACCACCATAATACTCGGAACAAAGCTCCGCTCCTTACTCAGCCCTACTAACTGTGTACCATTAGTAACATAATAGACATATTACAGAGGGTTTCATCCACTTTATACATCTGTTGGTCACGGTGTTGTCGGTTTCGGTTCATTTTTGTTGTTTTAACAGTTTCTAGGTTTACAAATATGTTTACTTCTTTAAGCTGATTTTGTTGTCCACCTCTGATCATGGCAAATTAAGTAATCTAGGTGACAGGATTATTTATATTTTAGTCAACAGATATACCGTGGAACAGAGTAGGGCTTGCAAAATTGGTCTGCCCAATTGACCCTGGTTTTCCTTCAGCAAACGTACTTCTCTCCCCCCCCCAAAAAAAAATAATAATAGCAATTTTCGGAAATTTAGGGTCAGAAAAAGTAAGAGTTCTGTCCCCCTTTTTAAGGTTTAGCACCCGTGGTTCCCACCACCTGGGGTTTCCTGGCGAGGCTGGGCGACAACCAACTCCCATCATCCACGACCACGAGCCCCGCTGAAGGGCAACCCGGGGGGGGAGCTGGAGGCCCACCGCCTCTGGGGCTGGGAGGCTCGGGGGACGCTGCCCTTTGCCGCCCCCATCGGGTGCCGGGGTGGGGAGCC